AGGTATACTAAATGTACTTATATCAAACCTTAAACATTGAGGGTAATATAGTTTCCTATATGGCATAGGAATGTAAAAATTCCTTAATAGAATACACATGTATTGATATAAAGTTTTATCATATAATCACATATTCACGTGTATTCTTACTTAATTTGTAACTCTTATTAGTGTAAATTGTTTGTTTTTGTACAAACATTCATAGAAGAAACCAGAATTTAAACTTTGTGGATTCAATATTCTAGTCCGTTTAAGTTAATAGGTTCTAAATTAATAATTTATATATATTCAACAAATTTCTTAAGATAAATACAGGGTTTTGACCAAAGTTACTAGGTTCGGCCGAACCCACAAATTTTATATGCAAGCTTCGCCCTTGCAAATACTTTGTAAGCATATGTATTTTTTCAAGTATAGTGTAGATAGTATTATTTTTTTGTTTAACAATTGGATATTCATCAATCAGTGATCCGATTAATCTGAGTTAGCGCACGATAGACAAAAGGTTGTAAGACGCTCTTACCCAAACATGGAGGCGGATCCAAGATTTTTATATGATGGTGGCATAATATTCTGTTCAACCAGTGCCTCCTAAAGATTTTTAGTGTTCGGGGGTGCCAAGTGCTTTAAATTAACCATTTTCAAAGTATATACATATACAAAATTTCTGCCGAAACTTACGGAATCCGATGACCCCTTACTATAACACATAGGTCCGCCTCTGCCCAAACGTACTCCCTCCCCCAACTTAAACCTAAACTCATTAGTTAAGGAGAGAGATATTTCAACCATCAACCATAAGGCAGCTATTTATTGACATGTTTGACTGTTCTTTTCGTTCCAACTTATGTAATATTTTTTTTTTTTGGTGTGTCCCAAAAAAATGTCACCCTTTTTAATGTAGAAATAATTTATCTTAAAAATTCTCATTATGCCTTTAATGAAATGATTATAGCCGTAAAAATATCTAAAAATTATTTTAGGCTATAAGTTTCAAAAGAATTTATTTCTTTATTAAATTCGTATCAAGTCAAATTGACCCATATAAATTAAGATTGGAGTAAATATTAGATGGACTTTCTTGGCTTACTCAAGCGAGGAGTTCATACTTGAGAAAGGCCACTATTATGGTGTAGGAGTTAAGGCCATGACCCTAATCTATGTATATCAAAATTTAAAAACTGAAAATATAATAAAGGGAGACATAATACTCCCTCCGTCTCATAATATGTATCGTGATTCTTTTATTCACATCCCTTAAGAAAGAATAGTTTTTGATTACTTAACCCTTATTAAATATTTTCTCTATTTATGCGTCATCTCTATCAATGATATTATTCATATTTTTGCTAAATGTGAATACAATTGATTATTAAGGGTAAAAAAAGAAAAATATAATCAATTTTATTTTGAATTTTTAAAATGATAAATAATTTGAGACAACTATTGCCACGACACTATTATGAGACGGAGGGAGTACCTAACCTTTCCAAAAATAACTTGTAAGTTGGCCATATTCAACTTTAGGCGGTGTGCAGCTTACAAAAATTACGCTGCATCCGAGCAGCACCTTGAGTAGTTAGAAACATATATATTAAATAAATCCACGGGTATCATGTAAAAACAAATATGCAATGAAATTAATCCCGAAAAATGTACTGACACTTCAAATTTTTTATTTTTATTTTTGTAAGTAATTTTTTAATACTTTATAAATGTATAAGATGCATATTTCTTTCGTTCATTTTTTGTTAAGAGTTATTGGAAATAATAGGGGGTCCTATTAGATTGACACTGGAAATAAGGTGACGACTTTAAATTGGGGAAGTTTAGACCCATTCCTATCACAATTCACAATAAGGTGACGAATTTAAATTGGGGAGTATATAGTTCTGGGATCTCAAGACTGCTGCGAATCCGTCCATGTTCCTCCAATTTCTCTTTCCCATCTTTATCGCGAATCCCAACGTTATTTTTTTGATTTTATCTAATTCATTGCCCATTCTTTTGCTTATCCATTTAATATGCCACATCAACTAATTTAGCCATTTTCTCCCTCTCTTCCACCGCCCACCTGCTGGAAAACAACACGTCGTGAAGAAAACATATATTCATACAGTTTGATATTTTGATGTTATAATTAATACTCTATTCAGTACATTTTAATTGATTATTTTGGCTATTTTCATGGATATTAAAGAATTTATTTTTTGGCATTAATTAATTATAAAATTGATTATATTAATCTTAATTTGTTCATTGAAAATATAACAAATACTCTTAGGTTCTTTACTCCAAGGATAACTTTGGAAAAAAGAAGTTAATTCCTTCTTGATATCTAAAAATATCAAATATTATGGATCACAAAAAAAAATCAATTAAAATGAACGGGAGAGCGTAATTGAGATACAAATGTATATATTCAATTGCAGTTTAGTGATAAATAAGTATATTAAAAAACAGATCCTACGTACCTTACTTTGGTATAGAATCAAGTGCAAATATATTTTGTGGGTAAAAGACAGATCTCTTACATGTAAGATTAAATTTTTAATGTGTAAAAAAAAGATAAGGTTATAAAACTGCCACAAAACCATTTGACTCCAAAAGAACAAAATTTGCAGCATGAAACATGAAGGAGTATACATTTTTCCTTTATAAATTATACATTAAATTGCTTAAAGTTTTTACATATTTATAGATTAATAAAATAGTTATACAAGTCGTGGACAAATAAAAAAAATGTCATTCTCCATGTAGTAATTTCTTGATTTAGTCATCATGCTTATTACCTAGAAATCGTAGTTTGTTTCTTTTTCTTTTTCTTTTCTTTTGGAAGGGGATCATTAGAAAAAGTTATAACGTCCATTTAAATTTAGAAAATTTTACCTCCTATAGCAAATTATTCAACAATATTTATTATAAACCAAAACTATTTTGAATTATTACTATCTATAAC